TGTCATTAAGTGATCCCGTTACTTTACTTGCTTTTAAGCTTTGTTGTCGTATTTCTTCTTCAACTTCTCCGTAACTAGTTATATCTATTCCCAGATATCTAGACCTTACTTCCTGCTTTATTATTTTCCATCGCAGTGGGTATTTAGATGTTATATCATACATTTGATTTTCTCTGCTGATATTCAGCAGAATAATAATGAATATCAGCACTAAATCTAAATAAAAAAATAACGTTCAAAAATGTATAAAGGTTTTAGATAGGTATTATTTTTCTCATTAACAACAAAAAACCGTATCTAATAAATATAATAGCCAGAGAGAGAATTGAGTTAAGGTCCAAAAAGTTTGAAGGATGTTTAAACGTAAGGCACAGGGAACATTGGAATGAATCTACTGTACTTTTATACTTCAATTACTTGACGAACACGAACTGTTAACTGTATTTTATGTTAATAAGTTTAGTAACAGCCAAACTACCAAAATTAATTTATTATTTATTACATAAACGACAAATGTAAAAAACTAACATTATACTTTATCCTACGTAGAATATAAACTATAAAATATCCGGGGCGAAAAATTGCTTTTCAAAACGTGAAAATATTACATTACAATCCAATATCTCACTGTAATATTTCTTATGGAAGTTAAATCTACACCCCAATTGTAATCCGCTTTTATCTATAAGAGATACATATTTTTTTCAAAATTAAACGATTTACGTTGTATAAATGATAATGAGAATAAAATTAAGTGGAGTAAGATACCATCGTCTGTCTTAAAAAACCCACTTATAACTGAAAAATGTTCATTCAGTATCTACAGATGTTATCGGTGCGTGGAAATTTCCAGAACGTATTCTAACATTAAAAAAAAATAAACATAAAAACATATAAAAAGGACTAAGTCCAGTCCTCGACGACTTATTTAATTACTTGCCATGAGTCAGATTTGACAAGTTGGTCAAAGTGAATTTTTAACGATGCAACGTCAGTTAAGTAAGGTTGTAGCATTTTGATTTCCTTTTATATGTTAAAACACCAAAAAATATTCTCAATCTTTTTGCGTCGCTGAGATTGATAATATAAAAATTTCTGGTTTGTATATAACACTAATTGCTTTCTTTTGATGTTCATTCCGCTTAATATTGCGCGTCAAATAAATATCCACTTAGGTTGGCGAAGAAAGTGATGCAATTACTATACAATGGACCACGATAGGGTCAGTGTCATGGACGTATAAACATAGATGGACACAGCAATAAGATACCTTTAACACACAATGTTTTGAAGCTTCGATATAATGTGATGCTTCCGCGATGAGCATAAGCGTGCTTGAATTTTTACTCGAAGGTTATTATTCAGATTTTAAAAATTGGAGGTAGTAATAATGTATAAAACACGTTCAAAGAATTAAAAAAAAAAGCGAGAGTTTAACTATTAACAAATCACGTCTTTATAGAAAAATTAAAATACAATTTTATTTGCTTTAAAAATTAATACAATTAAATATAGTTGAATTCAAGTTAATTTATTAATAGTATCAAAATAATGCTACAATAAAAAATCTTTGTTTTCTCCTTAATTTGCTACCCAAATAGTTCGATCGTCAATATTATTTGGAAACCTACATAGAAAAATAAATGAGTTTTATTCATTTCAATAATTTATTTGTATCCATGAGAAATATTAAATTAAAAAGGTACTAAACAGATCATTTTTAATCAGATGATGTCTACAATTTTAATGAACTCATATCTTATTCAATACATTAATGAACATGAATAAACCCAATGGTACGCCTATTAAAATGTAAACAAACACGCTTCCTCATTTCCTCATCTTAAATAATGTAAATTGTATGTACTTACAAATGAAATGAGAGATCGGGATGTAAATATTTCGTTTTCGTTTTATTTCACTTTTCACAAATATCACTCAAAATACAGCCAAAATATCGAAAAATAGCTTTTTCCTCATTTACTCTAAAAAGTAAACAAACATGGAACAGCATTTGAAGTTTGACGTAGATCCATAAGACAGAGAAATGTAAACAACCGTTGCCATTTATAAATAGTTTTCAGTGCTTCTACATATAAAATAATTGATTGATATCTATTATACGCTATTATTAAATGATAATGCGCACACTTGATATTTTGATTACAATTAAATATATTAATATAACCAATAAATTATTATTTTGGTTTGATAGCACCTGTAGAGTATAAAATACGGAGTAATATTTTCAGCGACTCGCGAATAAGAAATTTTAAAACGAAACGTGACAACAGTTGAAGGTGCTCAGAATGTGACCTATTCAAATAATTTTGACTTCACAATTTTATGTAAATAACTGAGTCCATCTATGTTTATACGTCCATGGTCAGTGTCATTGTTTAGTGCGGATAATTCTTGGTTAATAGAAGCGAATGGGGGTATGGTTCTGGAGATTTCAAAATCAATTTTGTGACCTGTATGAAGATGGTGTTGACCTAGAGCTGAAATTGAATCGGAATTGCGAACAGAAATAGAATGTTCATAAACCCTATTTTGGATTCTATGATTTATTTGGCCTGTATGATAGAGGACAGTCTGCACAAGGAATTTTATAAACTCCGTCTTTTGATTAATCGGACAAGAGACAAAAGTTTTTGTTGGTGGGTAAATATTGTTTTTATTCCTCTTAATTTAAGGATTTTGTCAGTGACACCTTGATGTAAGGAAGAAAAGAAAAAAAGAAATTTATAAATAAATAAATATATAATATATATATATATATATATATATATATATATATATATATATATATATATATATATATATATATATATATGTATATATGTATATATATACAGTGGAACCTCGATTATCCGTCTCTCTATTAACCGTCAGGGTCCATTCATAAGTTATATTGACAACATAAGTAAAAATGTAGTCATCAATTCATTTTTTTGAGCATTGCGATGAGCCTAACGAGATTCGTTGAAAGGTGCACCTGAACTTATGCCACCACCGCATTAGTGTTCTTATTCAGGGCTCTGGATTCAATTACAATTAAAAAAGGCAATGATAAATGACACCGTGCTTCTAGAGTTTCATTTTTAGAATCGCAAGTCAAAAATAAAACTGCAGAGCACAATAATTATTACAGCAATATCTGTGTGTTAACATAATTCAATTTGATTCAAATTCGAACATTGATTGTGTTACTTAGTCGCACTGAGCAAAAAGTGTGATATTCCCAGAATAATAATCAATGATTTAAAGAAAAATGCTGATGATAGACAATGAAAAAAAAAATATTGAAATGTTGAAATGGCAACAGAGGCGGACGAAACTGATTCAGAAGCTGACAGAGACTTTGATGGTGGCGATGTTGATGATGTTATTGCAACTCACAAATATTTGCGTAAAGAAGCTAGAGAAGCTGCATCGCACATACTACAATTCATCAAGCAGTATTCTCGGCAAGAAGAAGCAAATAAGGTAGATTTGATGATTTTACGTCGATTAAGAAATTTAGCCGTTACAAAATGTAAAGTAACAATAAAACAAATAAAGATTTCGGAATATTTTAAATCAAATTGATTCGACTGTACTAACATAAATCCGTCTTATATTGTCAAAGAACATACAAATAAAATTTTAGAGTTATACTATGAATTTTTTTTAATGTTCTGTTAACCGTCTTTTCGATTATCCGTCATACCCTTGGTCCGGTGCCCTGACGGATAATCGAGGTTTCACTGTATATATATGAATTAAATAAGGACACATTATTTAATTTACGATCAAATAGTCAGAAATACCTATTTACGGTTTACCTGCCGTCGATGTATCTATTGTTTTCCGATTTTGCGAGACATGCCATTACATTGTGTTTTTATTATTCACTCGCATTAACTTTTTCTATTTGTTTTACATCCTTTTCCTCAGTTGAAAATGCATTATTTTACGTATACCAATTTTGAAATTCAATTTTCTTCAACTTTTGTACCTACTTCATTAAGAGGGTCATCTATACTTAATTTTAAAAGCTTTACCGACGACCCTCTTGATGGGAAAATTAAACTAAATTTTTTATGATCATTCAAAATTAAAATGACGTAAATTACACCCCTTAATTGTTAAAAACAAGCTGTGAATTAATCAAAAAATTTGGTTAACTGTGGCCTTAATTGACCCAGGTCAAATTTTTCTTTTCTTTTTATAATCTTGAAAACATTTACGCTTTGTGACTTTTTCATTTAGAAACCAAAAAATTGATCGGACTTCATTTTTTCTGACTTGTTATTGTAAAAAACAGCTTTTTGGAATAAACAAATAAAATAAAAATTAAACAATTCAACTAGTCACTTTTAAATTGTTATTCCATATTACGCATAGCAAGACCCAACTTTGGAAAAAATTTTTAAAGACTTTTTTTAAAGTATTTTTGTAATAGTTACAAATAAATGATCTTTTTTTTAAATTAAGCTCTTGTTGCATTTATCTAAACAACAAATATTTATATAATTTTTACGAATTGTCATTTTAAAGCTTTGTGGATGTTCTAACTAAAAGATCGTTACGATAGTAAAGCTTCAAAGCCTTGTTTTTCAATGATAAAATAAAAATGCCAAAGATGTATTTTTTCACACTGATTTGTTTATAAATAAAAATTATCAATAAATCTTACGAAGGAAATGGTTATAATTTATTTGTATTATACATTAAAAAAACTTTCAGTACCCTGATTTTTTGAGTGTTATGACAAAAACCTAATTACCCTGAAATAATAATGAAGCTATGTTGTATCCATATAATATCCATGTCACAAAAAAGTTGATTTTTGTTGACCAGTGTTATTTGTCAATGCGTTGAAAAGAAAACACAACACTTGAAGAAGAATCAGATATGAGTATCTCGTGACATTATAGAGTGATCTATAACTTGTTCCAGTCTTCTGATTTTCCTGTGATCTCTTGTTTATTTATTATGGAAACAAAAATGCGGTTGATAAGCGAATTCTTTTATTTTGTAAGTTGCTAACAAAAATCTGTGTCAATAGGAGGAACATTTATAATAAATAAAAAAAAAACTCTTATGCCTACCCTCTTTTAACAAATAATTCCTACTATAATATTGACGCTAACAACTACATATGGTTCTGTACATAGAAGCCTCTCCCAAACATTTATAAAATGTTCTAAGTTAAGGTACAACTGTTTTATTTTTTTTTCAGACATCGAATTAGGTTGAATGTGGTTATATTTTTAAAGTCAATTAAAATTTTAGTAGATATTTACAATAAATTTTTAGAAACAAATGACAAATAATCTGATACGGCGTAGTCAGTAGGATAAAAAATATACTAATCGGAATCTCATAATTATTATACACGGGACCAAAGAAACGGACAATAAATTTTGTAATTTGTAGGTGTGTAATCGAGATGGTCGGATGAGATGTAATCTTGTCAGCCAAATCTTAAAGAGTTAACTGATCTAAATCTTAATCGAGAAAAATCTATCTCGCCAACAATGGAACAGTAACTTGAAAACCACGTGGCGTACTGATAGAAAAATCTAATAAAAAATGTAAAGCTAAATTTCTCTAAAACTTAATGAATAAAACTAAAAAAAATAATTGCTAAATTAGTCTCAAATTAAATAATAAAAGTTACATTCTCTAGGAGAGTGTATGTTTGTCTTTTTGTTTATTAAGTAATTAACAGAGTACTACCGTACCGATCTCAATTAAATATTGGAGTGTGTCAAAATCACTGATTTGTCTTAAGACGACACACTCTGTCAACTACTTACGAAGTAGGTGTCATAAAATACTCAGCATGGTCAGTTTACGATAGAAACGTATTCTAGCATTTTTGTGCAAAATTATGCCAATTCCACAGTTCTGACTGCAGAGAAAACCCAACCAAAAATTCTGTTTGAAGCAAAGAAAGTTACGTACCCTGCGTACGTAAAAACTTAAGGAAAGTTTTTGTCGATTTTGATCAAATTAAGAATATTTTGAATAAGGGAGTTACTGACTGAAAATTAAGTGTGAATAATTTCAATGTTTAAAGAAATGGTTTTTTTCTTGATTTATAGTCAGGCCATATTTTCTAGCTTCTTCTTTAAATTTTGTAAACATTTTTCGTTTTATTCTATCCTTACATCTTTAATTTCTATTCTTGAACGTGTCAGAAATACCAACTCATCTGCGAAACCTATGAATTGTTGTCTTTCGTTACTAATCGTGCCGCTTGTTTGGATTTTGGCTCCTCTAATAATTTTTTAGTACTACGTTGAATGAGGCTGTTGACAGGAGATCTTCCTGTTTTAATAATCTATTGACGTTAAACGGATTTGAAAGACTTACTTATATCATGACTTTATTGACTGTATTAGTGTCATTTTAAATAAAGTGATCTCATTGCTTCGTTTCGTGAGGTGAGTCATAGCCCTATATAAAATCAATAAAGAGCATATGAAAACCTAGGTTTTGTTCATAAATGTTGTTAATCGTAACCATAAAAATTTGATCGGTTGTTGTTCTTCCCTGTCTGAAACCAGCCTGGTATTCACCTATTAGATCTGTTTCGTAGGTTTTTAATCTACTTCGTATAATTTTTGCTAGTACTTACTACTTCTAAATTCCTCTACAATTTCCACAGACAGTTTTATCACCTTTCTTGTGAATCGGGCAGATGAGATGATGATTTCTGTGACATTTTTTCGTTTTACCAAACTTTTATTATAAGTTGAGCTATCTTTTGCTGTAGTATATCTCCTTCTACTTTTAATATTCCTGCTGGCACTCCCCTTTCTCCTGTACTTTTATTATTTTTAAGTCTCTTATTACTTCTATTACCTCCTGCTCTATCGATTCTTGTATTTGTCATTGTTCTGTTTCTTCTTGTGTTGTTGTATTTCTGTTCCTGTTTGGTCCTTTATATGTAGTTTACTAATTCATCAAAATACTCTACCCATCTTTATTTCTGTATTACATTGTACTTTTATTTTGTTTCACCTGTGGCTTTGTTTCCTTGATAAAAATTGCAGACTTCATTTTGAACAAAGTTGCCTTCTATTATTTCTAGTAGTTTTCTTAGTAATTGTCTCTTCTTTTGTCTGCTTAATCGTTTAGCTTATCTTCTTTTGGTTTTATAATGCTCTTTACTTTAAGACTAAAGACAGTACAAATGTGTGCAGTGAGTAATATGATTGGGAAACGTGTTTCTCTAATCTTGTGAATATTTTTTCGATGATTTGAAAGACATACTCGAACATAAATATACCTACTTGAAAGTTAAAATACACATTGTGCGTATGTGTAAAACAAATTAAGAAAACGATTTACACCGTATCTTCCACAGAAAATATATATACGGCGGCTTTTATACATTGGAATATCAACTTTATACTCGAGAATCAAAGGGACATCTTATTTGTCAAAACCGGCGTCTATATACATTTCCGAAAATAGCTATAGAAGTTTAGATAAATATTATTTTCACAGCTTCCAGTGGATACTGGGATTGATTCTCTTAGTAGAAGTAAGTGAAAAACGAAACAGATTAAGATTACTTATTAAGTAAGTTAATATTACTTCTTCAAGAAGTTACAAATTTCTGGCACAGGCTTTTAGGGCGACGAAATTGATTGTGAAAGCTGATAAAAGTTGTTTGAAATATTTAGGTAAATACACAAAATTAATTTTTCATTTTCTATGTTTTCGAAAATTAAGACACTGCTGCATAACTTTAATGATATCAATAGCCGCAATAAATTATTTAAGGAAAACATTCTATAGAATAGCTTTCTCATTATTATTAAATTTTTTTTATAATTTCTACTTGACATAAAAAAACTTGGTCGAAATCAAGTAATACTTTCAAATCTTAGACTGGCGTGTCTAATCCGAATCAGTTACATTGTAGGGAATATAAAATAAAAGTTTGTTGAGATTGCATTGAAAAAGTAAAAATCATATAATTTACATGTTTATTTTTCCCATCTCGTTTCGTGAGTTTACAGCACCTACTTCGTAAGAATGGGAGAGAATCTTAAACAATCTAAACCCTATGGTATTTTAAACACAATTTATCTAAATATATTATTATTCTTCTTCTATTTCCTGTTTTATTAACACTGTATCATATTCCTCGGGTGGTTCTTCCTCGACCGTTTCTTCATCGATCAATACTTCGTTTTCTCCAATTGTCACTTCGTTCACTTCTTCCTCGAGCGTTACCTAAAACATAAAATTTTCGATGGGAGTATGATCTGAGACATAAAAGATATAGAGTATAGATTCTGAGGCCCTAGATAGTGATCGCTGCGCAAGCGCCCGACACTTGCAAAAGCGTCATGACAACATTGGTTGCTATTGGTTAAGGCTTGGACACACCTGTCACGCAGCCTTCCGATCATACTCATGTCCGATTAAGCCCGGAACACACCTATCATACAGCCTTCCAATCCTACTCCGATCATTCGTAGTTGGGCGGCTGGGTGCCTTTCTGTATTCACGGAAGGGTGGATAGTTGATAACTATTCTATCTTATGTAAATCTTTTCGCTGAATACGGATACGTAGTCCCCCATCTTATTTTACTTAAGACATAATAGTTTTCAACTATTCACCCTTCCATGTACACAGAAAGGTCGTCCAGCCAAACTATGAACGATCGGAGTAGAATCGGAATGAGTGTGTCGGGCTTTATGCTACAAAAATCGGGTAGGTGTAGAATAGAAAAGGAATGGACACACGTGTCATGCTTTTACATTAGTTTATCTCTCCAGTTGGTGGAAGATACACTGCGCGTAATGTTAAAATATTTCAATACCTCTCATTTAACCATTTAGTTTTTATTTCAGCTTAGGAACAAAGCGGAGTTTTTTGTGGTAATTTTATTACCTCTATGTAAAATAAACAAAATTGTATTTTATAAATTTAATTTTTTTTTGCTTCCATACAAAATATTTTTCTATTATATATGAATATCCTAATTTTAAACATTTAAGGTATAATAAAAAAAATTGAAAAAGAAAAAAAAGTAATTTATTATCATATACTCGGAGACAATAACTGAGATAGGTGAGAGTACGATTGGTCAAGTGACAGACAGGTGTGCCCTGTGGCATTCAAAGACACAGTCTATTCCGCTGTTATACAGTTGTCCTTGATCATAGTAGGGTCAGAAGGCTGTATATGTGTGTTCAAGACCTTATACAGGCTTGTTTATATAGATGTATGTTGTATATAAACACTGCATGTTTAATATTAACAGTCCAAATTTTATTATCGTTCAGCATGGAAATTAACTAGTGAAACTTATTTTAGTTACATATTCTGATAGTACTTTTGATCTAGTGAATTTTTGGTAAAAAAGTAAAAAATATTCGTAATACTATCGCAGTTACTGGCATTGCAACATCAACAAAATCACGCAGGTTAACTTTTATACCTTTAAAAGTAAAATCTTTTAGATTGAAACCAGTTTATAAATTTTATACCAAAGAAGCTTATTGTACAAAGTACTGATACAGAGTAGAGAAGATATTAAAGGTATTCAATCACATTAAAAAGAAAATAAAAGACTTCTATTTTGTTACAAATATTTGTGCAAAATATAATGAAATATTTCACATTGATACTGACCGCTAAGAGTGACCAACATTTTCAAGTATTGGATATAAATTGAAGAAATTGCAATTCCGGCATAGATAAAATGTATTCACCAAGATACGAAAAGTAATTAATAAAATGCTAAAAGACAATAATATAATAGACATAAAAATAAAATATAGATATAAAAATTTGTGGGTTAATTTTGAAAGATTTTCGAAAGATGCTTCCGTAAAAAGAACATGCAGGCCCAAGTAAGATGTTTAATAATATTAAAAGAAATTTTTATTGCAAGGGTCTATGTAGCTATGTAACGTCATTCGTAGTGGCCAATGCCAAAAATTTAAATAATAAAAAAAAACTCCCAAAGAACCATTGAATATTAATTATCAGCACACTCAATTGTTTGATTTTTGATTCTTTTTGATATGGTGGGTCCAACTCAAAAATATATTAACAACCATAAATATATTTTAACCAATACCCAGCGTGACTAAACAAAATGTGTGAAGGCATACCCGATTATAAACAAAGAGTGGTGAGCTCTGTTGTGAATGATTCCATTTTGAGACATGACAACAAAAAAGATAGTTACTGATCAAGGTTTATGTTATCAATATTCAAAAAATTAGGAGATTTGAAATGTCAAACATCTCAATTCGACAGCATGTCAACATGAACCCTTACGATCATAATCAAATTCCGATAAAAACATACTTGCATATTTGAGAATGCAAACGAATCTGAATAAAAATACTTGGAGCACTTGGGTTCCATTTTGGTGCTTCCAAACGGAGAAAATAGATCCATTTTCAACTTGTTTATGGACGATCACCTAGGTTACTATTTAACACTTGCAACAATGTACATCCGCAAAACAGATTACTATTGATCAAAACCCATTAGAGTTCAAATTTAGACTAAGTCCAATAAATATTTAGAAAAACGCAAAACCAGAAGAAAAGAATGTTATAATCAGAAAAGTGAAAATAGGAGATTTAATTTATTTGAGAATAATAAGGGAAATAAAATGAAGGAACTATCCATGGACCATATAATATAATTTGAATTCTAATAGACGAATTAAAAATTGGCATATACCGCCTGCAAAAATGCGTTGACACAATGGCGTTTATGTCGAAACATAATAGGAAGTCCAGACTTTTCAACATAGGGACCTTATTTTACGAAGCAATCTGGTAAAAATTTAACATTAAAAAAATAAAAAACTGCAAAACATTTTCAAGTTAAAAATAACTAGACCTGCGTTGGCCGAATATTAATAAAACCCACCGAGAAGGAAGGTTTAATATTGTCTACACTTACCTCATTAACGAAAACTTCCTCCTCTTCTTCTTCTATTTCTTCGGGCATGTAGATTTCCTCGCCTTCTTCAACAGCCACCATATCAGTCTCAACTAAATCTTCATCTTCGGCTTCAATCATGGTATCATCGATACCTTCTACTTCTTCCACTTCCTCTTCTTCTATTCCTTCTAATGTTTCCAATTCTTCGACACCTTCAATTTCGGTATCTTCCTCTGTCATAATTCCTTCTTCTCCACCAGCAATTACTTCGTGTTCATCCAGCGACAATTGGTTTCCCATAGGCACTTCATTAACGACTTCTACGAGCGGTGCTACCACAGGTGTATTGGATTTCTTCGACTTCAGTAGGTACTGTTTGGGAATCTGAAATAATAATAAATAAGTTGTTAAAGCACGTTGTTTTATTAAAACAATAGATTAAAAATAACGAGTGACTAAACTAATTCAGAGTGACTGAACTTTTCTTTAGGTGAAACCTAAAGAATATTTATTACATTACAAATCGAAAATTTATTAGATGAAACATATGAATAATGAACATAGAGTAGAGAATAAAAGAGTAACAACAAAGTTTGTTGGGAAGATTTCGTCAAAATAATTTATGAAATTACACAAGAAGTATTGAAGCAAAGCAAACGGGTCCTGAAGAAAGACGCACCTAAAGCTAAAGAAGTTAAAGAAGAGGTGACGACACAATTCATAAATTTAATACGGAAAAATTGGTAGACATTAACGGACAAATGAAGAGAGAAGTGTAACAAATATTTTGGCAGAATCAGGGATAGAGTTTGCGCTCGTTTCAGGTGGTTAATACAAGAGTAGCAGTTCCCAGCTCGATACATCAGCTAATCAATAAGGAAATAGAAGAGGAACAAAGTGACAAGGATTTAGAAGACGAAACAAGCCACACAGAGCAAGAAGTAAGTATGGCTCTTACAATCAACGAATTTTTAAATATCGCAAGCAAGGTGTTGCCCAGTGAGTTTGATGGAAGCGCAGGTGAAGTAAAGTCATTTGTAGATGCATTAGAACTCCTTCAGAAAATAGCGATAGGACAAGAAGACACAGCGATAACATTAATCCAATGGCCAATAAGGCCAGAAACCTTATAACTACAGAGGATACAATCCCAAGAATAGCAGTGGCACTAAAGAGAGAACTGAGAGGCGATAATCCGAAGACGGTAATAGCTAAATTGGCGAAGAAAATACAAGGACATAAAGATGCAGCGGTCTATGAATCTGAAGTTGAAGAATTAGCAGAACAGATAAAAGTTGCATACATAACGGAAGGAATGACTTTCCAACTAGCGAAAAAATATACAACGGACACTGTAGTTGCAACAATGAAACGCAACGTCAACACAGAAAAAGCTAAATTAATATTGGAAGCATGTAATTGCTGGTTTATCTAGATGACATAATCGTAGTGGGGGAGACATTTGAAGACCATATGAAGAATTTAGCTTGACTTTTAATAAAAGACACTCACTTTGAAGCACCCGTTTTTTATTGCTTCCTTAGTATTGGGTCGTTCCCGGTTACCTTCAACTGTCTGCTGTTTACCAGTAGCCTTACTGTCCTCGACTTTATATATATATATATATATATATATAATATATATATATATATACATATATATATATATATAATATATATATATATATATATATATGTATATATATATATTATATAATATATATATGTATATATATATATTATATAATATATATATGTATATATATATATATATATATATATATGTATATATATATATATATATATATATATATATATATAATTATATAATATAATATATTATATTATAAAACCTCATTTTTGTTGTACCTTTCAGTAAGGAAAGACGATTAAATTTTGCAAATACTATACAGAAGTCATAGGGATAATCAAAATATCCACTTTAAAAGATGTGTAGTGTATTTTACATATTCTAAACTTTACTCACCTCTGTTGATTGAGATATAACCTTCAAAACGATGTTCTTTCCTGAAGCAGTTTTCACCACTACTAAATTTGAAGGGAAGGGATTATTAGAACTGGTCGTGGGAGTAGCTGTTTGCATCACCTGTTGAGGCTGTACCACTTGAAGTGTCTCTGGTCGACTAAACAAAAAAAACGTACTTATTTTTCATAAATATTTGTTTGGAACATAATTCTCATTTTTGCTAAGGACTTTTTTTAAATCTTATTCAGTTCATGACGAGAAAATCAAAGCCAATAATGAAGTAAAATATTAGGTAGCAGATATTAATAATTGGGCATTGCATTACCATCATTGGAGGGAAAAAAAGGATGAACCAGTATACAGGAAACTTTGGGACTATGCAAAGAAACAGTAAAGGAGAAGTTTTTCGGCAATGGTATTAGCACAACCAAGAATAATATTGTTCTGAAGCTATTTTCTTGTGACATTGTAAATTAATTACTATTTATAACTGGGAATAAGCCACAATTAAAGATAAAAATACGTTTATTGACGTTTCAAATTCCAATTCGGAAATCGTTCTCAAAATACAAACAGTAAATTAAACAAATTGTTTTTTGTTACATAGTGAAAAAATTCTTCTAATAATTTAATTTTATCTGACTCATTTATATTGACAATTCAGACATACATTATGCATTTTAAAGTAGACGACTTTAAAATGATATCGCCAATATTATTGAGTTGCGCTCCTGGGACGACTTTACTTATAAGATAGTTCATTCGATTACATGAAATCAACTTTAACTTGAGAATATCTGTCAGAAAAAATCATAGCATGTAATTCGTCTTTAAAAAGACAAACACATGACATGATGACAGTAAAATTCTCCTGTTAGTGATTCCATAGTAAATTATGAGGGAAAAACCAGGAAAAAAAACCTCATAATACTATCCCGACATTGTAAGTATTTGTTCGTGAATTTAGTTTACCTTCAACAAACATCAAAATTCTGATTTTATATGTTACGTTATTTAAAAAACATAAATGATGTATCCTCTATATGTTACTGACTTACTAATACTGGTATTTTCTTATTAATAACTTCCTCTTTCAATATTGGTAACCGGTATTACAATGTCGGGATAGTATTATGAGGTTTTTTTCCTGGTTTTTCCCTCATAATTTACTATGGAATCACTAACAGGAGAATTTTACTGTCATCATGTCATGTGTTTGTCTTTTTAAAGACGAATTACACGCTATGATTTTTTCTGACAGATATTCTCAAGTTAAAGTTGATTTCATGTAATCGAATGAACTATCTTATAAGTAAAGTCGTCCCAGGAGCGCAACTCAATAATATTGGCAATATCATTTTAAAGTCGTCTACTTTAAAATGCATAATGTATGTCTGAATTGTCAATATAAATGAGTCAGATAAAATTAAATTATTAGAAGAATTTTTTCACTATGTAACAAAAAACAAAATTTGTTTAATTTACTGTTTGTATTTTGAGAACGATTTCCGAATTGGAAATTGAAACGTCAATAAACGTATTTTTATCTTTAATTGTGGCTTATTCCCAGTTATAAATAGTAATTAACCAAGAATAATATACCCATATATTTATAAATATATATCAATACATGTAACATAACCCACATATACAGTAGTCTCTCTTTATAACGATTCCCTAACGATAATTCCTCTATAACGATGAAAATAGTAAACGTTGGTTGGTTCGCCACAAGGATAATGTATTAATTCTTTCTCTATACCGATATCGTTCTCTCTTTATAGCGATGACTTTTCAGCGTTCAATAGTCGATGACAAATTGTGTTTAAAGTTCAGACTACCTGAGTCATGAATGGCAAGGTCGTTGTCCAGCGGTTTTTTTATTTTCGCTTAAAGAATGCAGCCACCCATTCTACTCATTCTTATGAAATGGTTAAGTGACTCGCGTTTATTATTCGGGCGGCGTGCCTAACTCTTATCATACAGATGTCATCTATTGACGACTTTTCATTTCCAGTTTGAGTTGTGTCTCAGTGTGTCAACAATCAACATGTTTTCGAAAAAGCGTAAGGTGAAAAGCAATCGGATGTCAATTGCCGTACCCCTCAGTCAACTGTGGCTACGATGCGGAAGGACAGGAAAAAGAGGCTTGAAGCGGAGATGTAGAGCAGTAGCAGCAAGAAGTTGCGGAAACCTCAGTACGAAGATTTCGATAGCGCTAAGCTTCAGTGGTTTTAATGGTAGCGAATGAACCATATTCCACTTTCTGGGCCTGTGGCCAGGACAAAAGCTGAATCTTTTGCAACTGATCTTAAAATTGCAAATTTCAAGGCATCTGAGAGTTGGCTGAGCAAGTGGAAGAAGCTGCGGCACAAGATCAACTACGGGTAAATCAGCTGAGAGGCTCGCGATATTAACAAAAACGTAACGGATGATTGGCTACAAAACGTGCGGTCTGGACTGAAGGCACGTTATGCGTCAGACGACATTTTCAATGCTGATGAGACTGGATTGTTTTTTAAAATGACACCAAACAGAACTTTAAAATTTAAATCGGAATAGTCGGTGGAAAGCTCTCTAAGGAATGCATTACAATTTGCTAACAAATTTATTAATTACAAAATGCTAACATGACAGGTTCGGTGAAGCGAAAATTGCTATAAGTGATATAAGTGTTATAAGTGTAAAATGTTACAGTGATAGGGAAGTTGAAAAATCCACGTTGCTTTAAAAACATAAAAAATCTACCTGTGACCTGTAAAGCAAACAAGAGTGCGTGGATGACTTCAAATACTTTTGAAGAAGCGATAAGAAAGTGGGATATCGAGCTTAAAAAAAAAACTCTTTTTCTTGTAGACAATTGTCCTGCTCATCCTATACTGTACGATCCTCAAAACATTGAACTTTGTTTTCTGCCAGCAAACACAACGAGTGTCCTTGAGATCCAGCCGATGGACCAAAGTGTCATCAAGAGTTTGAAAAGCCATTACAGGAGAAGACTTTTGATGGTATTGGTTGAGAACAATGACAATCTTAAACTAAACATTCTTGACGCCATCCTAGTGATTAGTAAATAATGGGACGAGGTGACGAGGAATACAATAAAACATTCCTTAAAACACGCAGGCTACAGACAGGACACAGACAGTTTGAACTTACTATCACCTACGGACCGGAAGAGCTAACAGATTTTTAATAATTTGATGAAAATGTAGCAAAAATATCTGGACTTTCTGAAAAGGACATCCTACAGTTCGTGCAGAAGAAGAAGAAAACAGTGACCCAGAAGTGGAAGCAGAGCCAGAACTAGCTCCGACCCCTCAGTAGGCATTGAGTGTGGCAAAAGTACTGCATTTATTCTTCATCCACCAGGAAGACGATATGAATGCTGTGGAAGATTCTATGCATCTTCAGGACAAGGTCAGGTCAGTTCTGTAAAAAGGGAAACAGACCAAGGTGACAGACTTTTTTTGGTAATGTAAGCAAAATATATTTTACAGTAGCATATTATTTTTTTATTGTACTGTACACATGTTTTAATTGTACATTCATTTTTTTTTATATCGTATTGCTTGTATTATTCTTTAATAAATCTATGTAATGTACAATACAGCGTTAATTTATTTACATTCGTTTTGCTACATTTTTTTAATTAAAATAGGGTATTTACTACAGTGTTATTAATATTACAGTACCGAATTTTGTCTCTCTCTATATAACGATCTCTCCTTATAACGATGAAAATTCCCGGTCCCTTGGATATCGATATATAGAGAGAGGACTATATATATATATATATATATATATATATATATATATATATATATATATATATATATATATATATATATATATATATATATATCCTCATCATTTTACCATTTCTCATTTCTTTGATATCCCAACCAAAGGTATAATCCCCCATAAAATGTTATAGCATTACACACACCTGGAAAATTAACAAACCAGCCAATGAGATATCGGCAAATTGATTCATTGAATATTTTATGTAAGTTTCTTTAGAAACTATTAGACAAGATAATCTTTCCTCACCTACTCGAAAGAATACATATAGAACAGGCATGGTTCCGTACCACCCAGATCAAATCTTATGATTTACCACATATATTGAAACTAAGTTTCAAAGAAGGCTAAAAACTTATATCGTGTTCATAGATTTATTGGCAACCTACGATAATATCCGCAGACAAGAACTTATCAACAAGTTTCTGAACGAAGTGTCATGCTTAAGGACCATCTAATAGATTGTTCCAAGGGAATATGGGGAATTTCAAATTGTAGTGAGGAAACTGAATAATCGACTCACTCAGGGTTCTGACTTGACACCGAGTTTGTTTACACTATACATTGCAGATATGTCCAGCACATAATATAAGAAGTTTGGATACCAGATGACTGAGCAATAGCCACACAGCACCAAAACTTTAAAAGAACAAACCTTAACAGCTGACCTCTAAGCCCGTTAAGGCCATTTTCGAAAATAGAGACAGCAACAAAATGTAAACAAAATAGAAGTATGCTGTCCGAAAACCAACTTCTTACACTAGTTTGTTTTTATGATAACGTTTCTATTATAGATTTGAATCATATTTTTTTGAAATGTAAAATTAAAGAGAGAAATATAGAACAGTTATATTATAGTCTACAACAAGAACAATGTATGTTTTCCAATTAGTATAGAGTATTTACCAAATTTCTATGATATAAGAATCACTAAACTACTGATTGACTATTTGAAAGAAATAAATATTGCCATTTAAATAAAACAGTGATAGATATAAAAAAGCTCATATATCATGTTAAAAAATAATAAATATAATAAATAAAAATCGGATAATAAGAAAATCAACGGATAACAATAAATTGCCTTAAAAATCAAAATGAAAAAACAGAACCTGATCAAGACAATAAACAAAAAATAACTGAAGAATTTTATAAACAACTCTTATTATACACAAAGCGGCACCAAATAGAGTTAAAGGAAAGAAACATTTTGAACTTAGAGTAGAAATATATCCCTGAAATCACTATATACGAAATACTTTACCTTCTGACTCAAATGCAAACTAATAAAGCATCAGGTGGGGATGATGTCAAAACAGTCATGATAGAGAAAAGTTAGCACTTCAGAGGTTC